TAGATTATGAGGAGACATTTGCGCCGGTTGCTAAACTCAACACAGTAAGAGTCTTGTTGTCACTTGCTGCTAACCTCGACTGGCCTCTTCTACAGTTTGATGTGAAGAATGCCTTCCTTAATGGAGAGTTAGAAGAAGAAGTTTTTATGCAAGTACCTCCGGGGTTTGATGATGAAAGTGTGGCAGGAAAGGTATAGGTATGTCGACTGATGAAATCTTTATGAAACAGTCACCTCGCGCTTGGTTCGAAAGGTTTACAAGGGCTGTAAAAGAAAAAGGATTTCGTCAAGCTCACGTTGATCATACATTGTTCTACAAACACACGGTCGAAGGGAAAATTGCTATCTTAATTGTGTATGTAGATGATATTATAATGACAGGAGATGATGAAGAAGGACTGGAGAAACTGAAGCTATTTCTAGCTAGGCAATTTGAAATTAAAGATTTGGGAAACCTCAAGTTCTTTCTCGGGATGGAAGTAGCTAAATCAAAGAAGGGAATGGCTCTGTCTCAACGAAAGTATGTGCTCGATTTACTCAAGGAAACAGATCTTCTTGGATGTAAACCTGCTTCCACTCCTATTGACCCTAACCATAAGTTAGGAAGGTCCGAGGGTGGAGCTGCTGTTGATAAGGCTCGGTATCAAAAGTTAGTGGGAAAACTCATCTATCTAGCTCACACACGACCTGATATAGCCTTTGCAGTGAGTTTATTCAGTCAATTTATGCATAATCCGGCTGAAGAACATCTAAAAGCTGTCTACAGAATCCTACACTATCTCAAGGGAAGTCCCGACAAGGGTATTCTATTCAAAAAAAATCACAGTAGGAAAATTGAGGTCTTCACGGACGCAGATTATGCAGGAGCTGCGAACGATAGGAGATCTACATCAGCCTATTGTTCATTCGTTTGGAGAAATTTAGTAACCTGGAGAAGTAAAAAACAACATGTGGTGTCAAGAAGTAGTGCAGAAGCCGAGTATAGAGCAATGGCACACAGAATCTGTGAAGCTATTTGGCTAAGGAGCATTCTCAATGAACTGAAGGTGAAGACAGAAATGCCAATGAAGTTGTTTTGTGACAATAAGTCAGCCATCAGTATTGCTCACAATCCTGTCCAACATGACATGACCAAACATGTGGAAGTTGATCGTTTCTTCATCAAAGAAAAGCTAGAAGGAGGAGAAATTTGTATACCTTACGTTCCCACATCAGAGCAACTCGCAGATATTCTGACCAAAGGGCTATACAAACAAACATTTGAAGATTTTCTAGTCAAGCTGTGCATGATTGACATTTTTGCCCTAGCTTGAGGGGGAGTGTTGGACAGAATAATCTATTTTAGGTTATTGGACAGAATCATCTATTTTAGGCGCATAGTAATTGTAACTAATTGTAGAATTGTAGAATTATCTCTTGCCTTGATTAGAATTGTATTTAAGGTAGATTATCTTTTTGATATTGTAGATCCTTTTATTCTAGGGAATCAATTAATTCCCAGGATTTCCAGGATTCTCTCTGTACCTATTTAAGTTCGGTAAATGAGAAGAAAATCTATTCCGCCTATTTTCTTCTTTTAGTTTGCGTGCAGAAGCAGAGCCCCTAGAATCGGGAAGCTCTAATACCAAGTTGAAGAATAGAGTTTTATTATTATTGCAAATACAGAAGCTAAATACAATTTATAGGCCTGGGCTAGCTTAATAAAGGAAAGAGTAATTGTGTACAAGATCTTCTAATTAATACAAATCTCCTACTTGATTCTAGGAAATCAGATTATGATCAGAACAAATCTCATTATAATCAACTAAATATTCTAAATATTATGATTAGTACGGTATAGAGAGGAAGACAAAAGGTGCTGGAAGGAGGGGGGCTATGGTCAGGCATTTGGACTGGGTGGAAGGAGTCTGATAGAGAGCAAGAAGAATCTGGGGCGGGAACGGGATTGGGCTCATTTCCGTGGGCCGGTTCTGGGCTAGGGATTATAGTTTTATTTATTTATAAAATTTATCATTATGTTTTAGTTGGGCCTATTATTAGTAGAGTGGTTAGTTAAGTTAAATTGGGCTTAATTAGGGTTTAAGTAATTTAGGCTTGATTAGGGTTTCTTGTAGAAGCTATTTATACCCCTTGCTAGGGTTCATTCTGATTATCTGGGAATAAAAGTTGGTTTAGCCTTTTGGCTTTGGGCAACGGAATTTTATCGTTGATTATCTGGGCAACGGTTCATCCCGTTGATTTTATTTTTCTGCTACACATTAATTGGTCCGACCTGCCGGATCCCGTCCCGCCAAGATGACCAGAACTCAGAATGAACGCTTGACAGAGATGGAAAACGAGCAGAACCGAATGGGAGAGGAAGTGGCCCGACTGGGGGCTGAGCAAACCCAGATGGCACTCGAGCAGAAGCGCATGAACCAGACGCTCGAAGACCACGGTGCAAAGCTGGCGGAGATCGTCGCCTCCCTGGCAACGCTGACGCATGCACTTGTGCCGCCGGTGTCGCCGGAAACATCCACGGCGGCCGTCGGAAGCACAGCAGCCACCGCGCCCAGCGGTGAAGGTTTGCCGCGCACCACAACTCCAACCAGCGGCGAAGGTTTGCCGCGCGCCACAACTCCAACCAGCGGCGAAGGTTTTCCGCGCATCACAACTCCGACCTTGTTGACTGCGTTTGATGGCGCAGATCCCATCGGATGGGTGGCCAGAGCTGAGCAGCAGTTTGAACTTCATCAAACCCTACCTGGAAGCAAAGTGGCAGCAGCTACGGTAGCCATGGAAGGGGCTGCCCTGTACTGGTTGACCTGGTTGAGGGCACGGAAACCGGGTCTGACTTGGGAGGAATTCACAGATGCACTGGTGGCCCGTTTTGATTCACGGTTCAAGGGCAACCGATTTGAACGGCTGTCCGGGGCCAAACAGTTGGGAACCATAGAAGAATACAATAACCTTTTTGTGCAGTTGGCCAGTCAAGTTCGTGGACTGTCCGATGATCACTATTTGGGGTATTTCATGAACGGGCTGAAGGGACCGATTCGGGGATCCTTACGATTGCTGCGGCCAAACAGCCTGGAGATTGCAATGGAGTTGGCCAGAGATATTGAGCACAACTTGTCCTTTCAAGATGGAGACTGGGAAAGTCAACCCTTCGACACAAACTTGCATTCGAGCAGTTTTTTGCGGCCAACTGGCAGTAAAAGCACGACCATAGGTGGTAGCAGCTTAAGAGGATCGAATGGCAGCTTTCCTAAAGACATTGGGCAGCCTCCGGGGACAAAGTCAGGGCTGTCCGGGCAGCCCACGACACGCTCACAATTCACTCGACTTCCGCTGAAAGAGTTTGCAGAATTGCGGGCGAAAGGATTATGCTTTAGGTGTAAGAAACCATTTACACCAGGGCATGACTGCCCCTTTAAGCAGTTGCGGGTAATGATAGCTGAGGAGGATGAGGAGTTGGACCTCCAGCAACATGAGTACTGTGAAATAACTGGTCGGGAAAAGGTTCTGGAAGGCGATGAAGGGTATTTTCCAGTCTATTCCATGGTTGGAAATTTCAGTCCTCGATCTGCGAAATTACAACCTTGAGGACAAGGTTATTTGAAGGGGGATGGATTGATAGAGAGCAAGAAGAATCTGGGGCGGGAACGGGATTGGGCTCACTTCCGTGGGCCGGTTCTGGGCTAGGGATTATAGTTTTATTTATTTATAAAATTTATCATTATGTTTTAGTTGGGCCTATTATTAGTAGAGTGGTTAGTTAAGTTAAATTGGGCTTAATTAGGGTTTAAGTAATTTGGGCTTGATTAGGGTTTCTTGTAGAAGCTATTTATACCCCTTGCTAGGGTTCATTCTGATTATCTGGGCAACGGTTCATCCCGTTGATTTTATTTTTCTGCTACACATTAGAGTCAAAGGAAGAACCCATGCCATTAATCCACAGACTACTGAGAGAACCAATTCAGAGAGCAAAATGGGGGAATCTTCAGTACTTAATCAGGATGGGAAGATTAGCAGGCGGTTAACTAAGGCTGAACTAGAAGAAAGTAAAAAGGGATTGTGTTTCAAATGTGGAGACAAATGGAGTAAGGGACATGAGGACATCTTTGCAGAATGAATCATTATCAAGTTGTCCTTATGGAAAATCTAGAAGAGGAGAAAGGACCAGATGATCAGCAGTCTGAACTGGATGTAGCGGGAACCCCTATGAAACCAAATGCCAGAACAGTTTCTTACCATCCACCTTTTGAGGACAAGGTGGAAGTTCAAGGGGGGAGTGATGATAGAGACCAGGTCCGTAAGGACACAAGGGCTTATAATAATATTAAAAAGTAGTATAAGGATACAATAGAAGAAGTAAGGGGAATGTAAATAAATTGATGAGGTGTCAACCTCATGCTCGGTATACGTAGTATAAGTATGAGCTGACTATGAATGAAAGGGAGGCTGGAATTCAGTTGCGTTTGGGCTTGGGAGAGAGAGACAATCTCATAATTGTCTCTATTTTCTTTTGAGCTGACTACGCTGGTTTAAGTAACCAGACACGCAATAGAGAATTTATGTTGTAGTTTATTAAGTATGGAATTAAGAGAAGATCTCAGAATTCCTTAAGGAAATACGATGGCAGAATCAGTAAACCAGTGTACAAAGAAAAGAAAGACACTTTCGAGAGTGTATCTCTCTCCCAAGCCCAATCCCAACTGAATTCTAGCCTCCCTTTCATTCATCACTCAGCTCATACTTATATTACGTATACCTAGCATGAGTATGCCACCTCATCAATTTATTTACATTCCCCTTAGTGCCCTTACTTCTTCTATTAATACTACTCTTCAATATTATTATTATAAGTCCTTTTGTCCCTACGGCCCAGGTCTCGTATCACATCCGTAATGATTTGAATTCCTACTTTGGATCATGGTGCATTACATAATTACTCTCAAGGATGAGATGTTCAATGTTCCAAAGAGTGAAATATGTATAGTGTTACAGTTAAAAGATTACCTGTTCCATCAACTCCTTGACGTCTTTGACATCTTTGCTGCTCTTGGCTGCACCTAGCTCTACCCCGGATACTCTCTCAGCAAATTTTAAAGTACTAACAGACTCGGAATATGAACTAAGGTCAGGATTAAGCTGCACAAACATAAGGGTCTTTGCTTGGCCCCCTATATGCACAACAGAGAAGTATAAGTTTCACAGTTGATAGTAGATGCAAAATTTGGAAAATCCTTTAATTCCTAATTTCTGGTACAAGAGCTCGGTATGTTATCTCTTTTATATTTCCTGTTACTCAAATTTCAAACATGCGCTATAGTTATGGTTTAAGGATGGAAGTTTCTTCAGGTACCCTCAGGTTTGGGGTAAATCTCAAAACGACCCTCAGATATAGACATTTCTTACAATTAGGGTTTCCTCTCGTAATTTCTGAGAAATGTGAATACAAGAGGATCATTTTGGATTGTGGTTCAGATTATGATGATGAGTATCCAAATGTGTTCTTCATTTACAAAAAGAAAGAGATTATCACAGAAAAGACAAAAACACGGTATACCTAATGAACTTTGAAGAACTTGAGTAAGCTTGCTGTTTCGGTATGGAATATGAGGGCTCTTTTGAGCCAAAGCAGAAATGACATCTCCAAGCGCAGCTAAAGATTTGTTTATGTGTTGTGCCTCCTTTAACCTGTCACCTTTTACCTCAGAGCGATCTACTCTCTCACTTCCTGCTAGATCCACTAAATGAAGACTGCTTCGCATAGACGATCCGCTCTCAATGTCCGTCCCACACACATGAATTGTCACCACACTGTGCGTTTATTACAAGTATTTGATCAATCAGGACTTCAAATAAGTATACAATTTCAGATGTTAGTGTATATTTGCGTCCGGGAAAATGCCGGGAAGAGATAAAATACTAAGCAAAGTCATTTCTTATGTTTGGTTTTATATTAGAAACTACAAGTGTAAAAAAGTGATTACATTTTAAACGTTTGTTTACATAAACATGAATAAATAAAATGAACTTGAGCAGATATCTAAAATTAATATTTTTTTAGACAATCTTTACTGTCTTCCAAATTTTATTTCTCTTCCCAACTTTCCTTTATGTTTGTCTTGCATTATCAAAGTTCCAAACGGACCCTAAAGATGACATCAGAGTCTCAACCTATGTGATCGGCTGCTTCTTTCATTTAGGGCAGTTGAACTTCGCGATCTGTTCTTTAACCCAATATTCATTAGGTCCAACACATCCGCAGTCGAGTTAACTTGATACATGCTAGCATCGGGCACAGTTAAACCATTTGGTTGGGTTGTTGGCAAAACCGCCAGAGTGTGCATATTAAGGAATTCAATATTGCAATTTGACTTGTATAAAAATTGCAACAAAGGTTGAGAAAGTCTGGAGCAGCAAAAAAAACTCATATGAGACGGAAAAACTTTGTAGCAAAATTTGGACTCCCTCCGTCCCAAAAAATAGTCCTGTTGCAAGCCCTTTCTTCCCCAAAAAGGACTCATATTTCAACAAGAGAAGCTATATTCATTGGTGTTAATCCAATACTTCTAACAAAGTGTTCCAAATGAGTAAAGTATGCTAAACGTAGTTTAACAAACATAAAAAGTCAAAAAAAGAAGCACGGTGGATGATTACCAAAGTTATGCCTACCTTGGCTAGTTAAAAAGCTGTGCAGCCTGTGCTTTGATGAAACATTTCTTTTTCCGGGAAAAAATGGAGTAATCTTTTTCAATTGACACGTAAGAAGTTACAAATATAGATAAAACTATTACTGGTTGCAAACTTGCAATGGATGGTCTAACGGAAGTACATGGAATATCATCTACGGAAATGTTATAAACACAGCATAATTGTCGTATAATGTTTAAGGATATCTAATATGAAACGACCTAATGGCAATATCTGTAAGTATTACAAACATTGCAACAATATTGGAGTCTTTTGGGATGGCTTATGCTACATCTTTTTATAAGAAGTGTTCTCTCATTAAGGACTAAAAGCGCTTATTTTTTTCAAAAAGATGCAATAAATAAAAAGTTGTTTTATAAAGGGGAAAATAATAAAAATACCCCAAACTTTGAAGGGGTGTGAGGTAGACACCCCAAACTTTTATATGTAATTTAAATACCCCAAACTTTATATAAAAAGTTATTTTCGCACCATTTCATGTATTATTTCTTTCAAAATTGTAAATTTATGGTGTTAATTGCATAATAAAAAATATTTTAGAATTCATGAAGACACAATTAACATTCTAAACTTCCATTGCGAAATAAATAATGTTACCCCCAATCTATATAATTGCAACACTTTTAATTTGCTATTTTAAATTATGCAATTAACCCCATAAATTTAAATTTTTGAAAGAAATAAAACATGATAATGGTGCAAAAAATAAAATTTTATATAAAGTTTGGGATATTTAAGTTACATATGCAAGTTTGGGGTGTTTACCTCACATCTCTTCAAAGTTTGAGTAATTTTATTATTTTCCCCTTTTATAAATAAAAGATTTTTTTCATTTCCTGCCCAACTCGTGTTTTTAAGTAAAGTTATTTCCCATAAAAGTACTTATTCATTGAAAATATGTAATCCCAAATGCACTCTTTTCTGGTTCACATCACAAGTATGTAGAATATCACCTACAGAAATTATATAAACATGGAATATGTGTGGTCTAATTTTGAAGGATATTTTTTGTGAGAGTTGTCGTTCGAGAGCAAGTCACGGATTTGTTCATTATATATTTCTACCATTTGAACTGAGATTTCATATGCAGTGGCGTTCCCTCTCTTTTGGGAAATCTGAAAGAGGTCATTTAAAGCCCGGTAGTTGACACCCCATTCCTCTTCACTAGCTCTATCAGGGCCCGTCTGGCAGGGGATAATATCAATCCACACATAAGAAACAATAGGGACTGCAGGATATAAGTTTTTTAATTGGAAAAAGAAATGTTGTTACCATTGTGTAAGTTTTTCCTGAGCCTGTTTGGCCATATGCAAATATGCAAACACTATAACCATCCAAAACTGATCGTATCAATGGCTTTATATCCGAAAATACTTGAGCTGAAAATATTTGAACAAGTATTACTTATACCAATGGTTATACTGCAGAATAAGAGCACAAAGAGAATTGTTTTTATTAAAAACAGCCTAAAATGCATTTTACCCTCCCAAGTCTTATTAAGAATTCCTGTTAAGAATTTTTTTCTTGGCAATTTAGACCCATTACTTTCAAAATGTCAATGAGGCCACTGAGATCTACATTATTTAAATAAAAAATACGGTTCAGATCGAGGGTCCACTGAATTGGTAGTAGAGCTATGGCAATTTCATTAAAAAATGCCAATTCTCGACATTTTGAAAGTAACAAAAGTGCACAAAAGCAAAAGAAAAAACAGATAGAGCTTAAAATCATTTTTAAACCTTGTGTTGCAGCAGGAGCGTAGACCTTATTAAACTTGAATGAACGACGCCCTTCCCTTCCTTGTTTTGAAGGATTTGTGACAATTAGCTCCCCATTTTCACCAATATAATTGACAATTGTCTGCCTGTCCATTTGTCCAGGAAGAAATGGCCTTACCCGGCAATATACTCTTATATTTCCTAATAATCATTACAGAACTATGAGAAGACAAAATAAAGATTCTCTGTGTGTGTGTGTGTATATATATATATATATATATATATCTTAATAAATTAGTAAAAGATATATCAGGTACCATCTTTTAATATTCACCTTTTAATTCTTGGACTTCATTATGTAGCTTTTTGTTTTCAGCAAGAACTACATGATAGTTTGCAGCTGCATCTTCCAACGCTCTGGTCTTCATACCTATATTATATTAGAGTTACATTTCAAAAACACCGAGTAATAATATTAGAATGAGTTCAATGGAAAAGGTTAAGAGTGCATTTAGGATGATTTCTTTTCAAAGAATAAATGCTTTTTATAGGAATAAAGGTAATTTTACTTTAAAAAGAAGTGTTTTATAAGGAAATGTAAAAAGTTCTTTTAATTCTTTAAAAAGGCAATTGTGCTTATTAAAGAACACACTGGTTTACAGTGTTTTCAAAAAAACGCCTTTAAATGAGAAAACACTTCTAGTAAAAGTGCTTAGAGCTTAAAAATGTTAAGAGCAAACTTGACCTAAGCGTTTAAATTCATCTGTGTAGACCTTCTGTGTTTTGATAACTTCATGCCTTATCGAATGGGATGAAAATTTTAGCTCCTGAAATTATTAACTCACCTCAGGTGAAAATGGCAGACACATTTAATGATTTGAAAGCATCAAATATAGGAGGGTTAATTACATCTACCTCCCCAGAGGTTTGGTCAAATTACCAAATGATCCTCAAGGCATCTGAAAAATACAGATAAACCCCTTGATCATTCAAACGACACTGAAAGATGATATGCTATAATGATAATATTAGTAGGAACTTTATGCTAATATAACTTTGCAGGATTTTTCAAGGAAAAAGCTTTGAAAATATCAATTAGTTGTATGTAAACACCAGTCTCTATTTCAAGAGCAACTCTAAAAAATATCATTGCACTTTGTCATATTTTGTATGTAAATTTCAGAAACATAACAAAACCTCTACAAGAATGATGTAATTAACCCAATATAGAAACATAGAAGTTTTTTCAGATCTTACACGTAGTGCACCAAGCTGGAATTCAGTGAATATTTCATAGATGTTCTGTGTCTTTTTCCACTGCAAAGATCTCGTTTCAGAAAGCATTTCACATTCCTTCAACCTATTCCTTGTTTCTGTTAAACGCCTCGTGGATTCCTTCAATTTCTCCTCCATCTCTGTTTGAGATCCTTTAGCCTCTTTCTCCATTTCTGAGAAACGTTGGTCATAAGTTTTACAAATAGTTTCAATTTCTTTCTTCAATGTTTCAATCTCTTGTTCAGATCCTTTACGAGTGGTTTCAAGTTCTTGTTTCAAAGATGAAATCTCTTGTTGAGAATTTCTGTTGTTACTTTCCAGTTGTGAGAAGCATTCTTTATACGCTTCCCGAGCTGTTTCAAGTTCTTGCTTCAAATTTGAAATCTCTTGTTGAGATATTCTGGTGTCAAATTCATATGTTTCCCGAGCGATTTCAAGATTTTGCTTCAAAGCTGTGATCTCCTGGACACTATCATCTTTTCCTTTCATCAATCTAGTCATGTCATGTTCCTCGGTTTTCTTTTTCACCTCCATCTTTGTCCTTTCACTCTAATTTGAATGAAAGAAACAAGGAAACAAAACCTACCGCTATTACTTATTAAAAAGATAAAAATGTCTGGATGTTACACTGAGTTGGGATTAATGACGTGATTATATTGATGATATACAGTATATAACAATTGAGTTATGTTTCATTAAAATAAACAGTAATAATGTTACGTTGAGTTGGTAAATAGTACACCCATAAATCATATAACATGTGAAATATACATAAAAATACTCTTTTAATTGTCACATGCAATTATTCCTCCCATTCTCTTCAAGGTATGAAAAGGTCTTTTTAAGCCTCTAGGGGGCTCAAGGCATACACCTTAAGGAGGTATGAGCCGTAAGCGTCAAAGAATACATTATACAATACTTAAAATTGTAAAAATACAGGTAACATTCACGACACTAAACATTTAAAATCCCATAAGCCAAAGCCAGAAAAAAAAATAGTGTTACGGTAAAGGAAAACACAGTAAATATTCATGACACTAAAACTTCAAAATATTAAACTGAAGTTATATTTAAACATAGAACTGAGAGGCATAGGGCCCAATATGAATGTCATTTATAAACAATAAGCCCGAGATGAACTCAAAAGTTATAACTTATAAAGGAAAACTCTGAGGCTTAAGCCTCCCAGAAAACGTCTTGAGGCGTATGGAGCGTAAGCCTCAGTCCATCTGAGACGCAAGCCTCAATCCAACTACCCGAGGCTTTGGCCTCAATGTGTTTTTTACAGGCTCACACTGAGGCGCGCCTAAAATATGCCTTTCAAAACTATGGTTCACTTTTAATTGTCGCTCTATTGATTTCTTATGTTCTCTAATGAGTGTTTCTTTAGGATTGACATTAATTGATCACTCACCATACGTAAATGCATACTCTATGAATTCTGAAACATTAGTAGGGGCATTCTCATCATACTATGCTACTTTTATCTCAACTTTAAAAAAAATATTGCTTTCTTAGTATGTGTGCAAACACGTAAATATAACACTTAAAAAGGAGGGAATAAATGCTTACCAAAGATCTTCGATTAAACATGAACGCCCATAAAAAATCCCACACACAATGCAATTTTCATGGAATAAAACATCTTTCTCTTTTGAACAACAAAAAGAAAAGATGCCATTTTCATGAAAATAAAATGCAGAAATTAAAAAATCATACCTTAAGTTGTTGGAGTTGGTTCATGACAATCTTCAAAAGAAAAAAAAAATATCATAACGTAATGCAAGCAATAATGGGAAGATAGGGAGAGATTCTTATGGCTCTCAAACATGATAGTGCCAATAAAAGCAATGCATACCTGTGTCTCTTCACTTGTACCAGTTGCAAGAGCTTCTAGAACTCTAATTCTTGATTGATACTTCTCTTCCCGAGCTTTGAAGAGGTTGTTTTGCTTCAAAATAGAATAAAATACATTGTCAGAATTTGTTTAAGCTTGGCAGTTAGGGCCAAACTGCTGCAGCACATATACCATTCTCAGGTGCTCTGCTTGTGTTGATATCCGCCTCTCTATCTCTTGCACTACCTTTCTCAACAGGCATGCTACACGCTAAGAGGAGCAAAAACAACTAAATGTGTGTTAAAGGTCAATCATACCCTTGCCTGCACCACACTTAACCACACATTTGACCTTAACCACATAAAAAGTTCTTTACACCATCACATTCAAATACCCTAGTAATTTGGTTGGAGCGAATTCAAGGATCTGTCCGGAGGGAGGGTTTTGGATGTTTGGAGGCGAAGGCTTAGTCTTGATATGTATTTTTTATATTTCATGAAAATTGAAAGATTAGCATTATATGTGATAGTATAACAATCCAATCATTTTTTATTCATTATTAGAAACATTCAAATTATTAAGATATAGACTAAGCCCTCCAAACCTCTCCAAAACACTCCATCCAAACATACCCTAAGGCTATGTTGGGAGTTCAGTTTTGGAGGGAAATGGTTATATTTTCATTGAAAGGAAAATTGCTTTACATTTATAATCTTCAAGATTTTAGAAATAAAAATGATCAATTAGTATAAACTTGTCATTTTCTTATTATCATAAACCATTTAGAATTTTCATGATTAAAAAAAAAAAGAGTAAGAGCTCCTCTCTGATCCACTTTAAAAACCAACTCTTAAACATAGCCCATGGGCATAATCATTTTTTCCTTAATTACAGGTCAGATCAGATGTAGGGTTAACACAATCAAAAGCTGGGATGCGACAAGTGTATGTACAGAGTGCATACATGAGGTATTTCCCCATTCTTGCGTGCAATGCATTCATCTATGATTCCATTCACAACCGTTAAAAGTGATTGTGTTGGGGCATTCTGTACAGAAGAGATTAAAACGTTGAACTAATCAATCAATGTTAAAGGAATATGTGAGCCTTAAATCAATTTACTTATCAAATAAAAGTCCAATGGATAAATGTTCATCAAGCATACATCCAAACTGTTCGACTTCATCATTTCTGAAATCTTTGATGCGGGGAGATCAGCATAACTTCCTTGTTTAAGCTCAAATACTTCATGGAACTTGTGGCCAATGTGATGTATCAGTGCAGCTGATTCTTTCAAGAAAAATTTTAAAAATAAGATAATGAAGTGACTAAGAAGAATGGATAAATAAAGAAGACAAATACTTCATAGCTTCTAATTTGGGTAAGGAAATACTTCGCAATTAAAAAAAAACACTCCGTGCAAATAATGAAAAATGAGTTAGTTTAGTTCTCAATATATGTAGACTGATACAATTTGTTTTGTGAATAATGATGGAAAGTGAAGGAGAATTATGAGATCAACCATGCCTATGCATGTAACAATCATTGAGGTAACAGGTGAAGGTAATTATGAGATCAAGCATGCCTATGCATGTAATATAGGAAGATGGCTTTACAGGTTTTTAAGTTTAAAAAATCTAATTAAGCACTTCAATGTAATCGAAGCATCAAAGAACCTGTTGTGAGCAAAGTAGGTTAATGTTAAAATATAAAAAATATTGAAATTATAGGGTGAGGTACAATAAGGTTTTTCATTCCTATATGGGTTTAAGCTCATAATTTCACTATATAAGTAGTGTAATAATCTTTGGAAGTTATGAGGTTGTAACCTGCCATCACAGGACTACGCAGTGCTCGTTGCGATTTTGACTCTAATTTCCATCTCTCTTCTCCAAAAGATGAAAAAGGACGAAGTCTTAAAGATTCTTCCCTTTGACCATCATCGCCTCCATAATGTTCTATCATTGACTTCCATCTTCTTGTCGTAATAACATTTCCAGATGCATCGGATTCCCCATCTTGTTCCCTAAATTGTGTTTTAAGTGCTATAAGGCAATGGAGCACAGCTTCCATGGAGCCCTGGAAAATTTTGCCGCAATAGAATGGAAGTTTAGAGTCCAGTTCCTCTACCAACCAATAATACATGGCTAAGCTTGTATTACTAGTAGTGCTACATACATTTTCTAAGTCTGATGCCTCAAACCGGGGTAAGCCCAATTTCTCCATGGCTGATAAAAATCTTCTAACATGTTCTGAACACGAACCCGAAGAATTAATAGAATCTCCTGCCTAGAGTAAACCACCGTTAGGATAAACTCTCAGGATCTTTTGGAACATATAAAATACAAGGGGGAGATAATGAGGAGCAAATAGAGAAGTAAATAGAAAGGAAAGAATATTTGGGACAATATATAAGATAAGCTCAAACTCATTAAATTCATTTTAAACATTTGTACAAAGTCAGTGTACTTATATGTATCATACAAAAACTTGGAAATATAAATATATAGAAAAAACAAAACTATCATACTTCATTTTTCTATGCATTTTCAAGCTAAAGCCAATCATAATAACATTATTTCCCTTTTAGCATTTTTGTTCATCTCCCAATCCTTTTTGGTGACAAACATACTCTTTGGGTCTGTTTAGAACCCAGAAAATATTAGGGAAATATGGAAAGAGAAAATTTGACAAAAATAAAAGATAGGCTATAAGACTAAAAACAGTGTTTTAGGTATTTGTTGATACTCATTTTATTTATCTCTTTTTTAAAGACAAAGATGTTTTCAGTTGGACCGCTTTCGGTCCAAGACCAGACCAGACTTAAACATACCAGATTAGAACACTTTGATGGTTGTAAAAATACACATAGAACATACACCTAGGCCTGTCAATGGGTTGGGTCCAGACCCAAACACGACCCGGATCCGTATTTTTTTAACGGGTATTGGTCTACATTTAATTACGTTACCCAGACCCGGATCCGGACCCGTTATTTAATGGGTCGGGTAGGTATATGTAGTTTTGACCCATTTAGGACCCGGCTCGTTAATATTTATTTATATATATACATTAGTCTTAGTCAAATATACATATTACATTAGTTGCCGCCCACATTACGATTTAGTTTAATAAATCCGAAGAAGGATCCCTAGAGACCCTACAGACCGCAGAGGATTCAAGAAAAAGCCTGTTCAGTTTCCAAAGCCATTTATTTTACTCTTTATTCTAACATTACGTATCTTGCAAATTATAAACCAACTCACAATTGTTGTGTTTGATTGAGTAATTATAGACAAGTAATTACAATTCATGTGCCATATTGTTGCCAGAAAAGTACTCGGTAGTAAGAGGCCATGTTTTTTTATTTAAGAAATTAGAATTGGATTTTTGTGAGACGGGTCAGGTCTACCCGACCCGGTTCCGAGACCCAATGGGTATGGGTCCGGAACATTAGTTCTAGACCCGCCGGGTATATGGGTCGGGTCTGGAACCCTATACAGGCTAACAGGTCCGGGTCTGGGATACTACGTTCCGGCCCGTACCCGACCCATTGACAGGTCTACATACACCTACCAAACTAATTCAGACCAGACCAAACTTTGATGGTTGTAAATACACATAGAACATACATCTACTAGACTAGTTCAGTCTAGACAAGATCGGTCCATGCTAGAAAATTATAGTCCAATTAAAAACATCCTATGAGGTTAGGCCTGTCAATGGGTCGGGTCCAGACCCAAACCCGACCCGGATCCGTATTTTTTTAACGGGTATGGGTCTACATTTAATTCCGTTACCCGGACCCGGATCCGAACTCGTTATTTAATGGGTCGGGTATGGTATATGTAGTTCCGACCCGTTTAGGACCCGGCCCGTTAATATTTATTTATATATATACATTAGTCTTAGTCAAATATACATATTACATTAGTTGCCGCCCACATTATGATTTAGTTTAATAAATCCGAAGAAGGATCCTTAGAGACCCTGCAGACCGCGTAGGATTCAAGTAAAAGCTTGTTCAGTTTCCAAAGCCATTTATTTTACTCTTTATTCTAACATTACGTATCTTGCAAATTATAAACCAACTCACAATTGTTGTGTTTGATTGAGTAATTATAGACAAGTAATTACAATTCATGTGCCATATTGTTGCCAGAAAAGTACTCGATAGTAAGAGGTCATGTTTTTTATTTAAGAAATTAGAATTGGATTTTTGTGAGACGGGTCGGGTCTACCCGACCCGGTTCCGAGACCCAATGCGTATGGGTCCGGAACATTAGTTCTAGATCCGTCGGGTATATGGGTCGGGTCTGGAACCCTATATAGACGAACGGGTCCGGGTCTGGGATACTACGTTCCGGCTTGTACCCGACCCGTTGAATTGTCTATATGAGATCTAAATAAATGTAAACATTAAAAATAACTAACCACATTTTGTATACCTTGCGCTTTCCAAGGTAAAACGAAACCGTCGAAACATAATAGAATTTTGTTAGCCCTTTTTTCCTTTTGATATAGTATTGTTGTGGAACCAAGCATACACTTAACGTTTAAATGTCATGGAGTGCCAAAAGGCTTAAAAGGACACTTATACTACCTCCATTCTTTTATAATTGCAACAGTCTGACTTTCACGTTTGCCAACACACAATTTTGACTGTAATTATATTACGTAATAAAAAACATAATATTAATATTACATTAATATTTTGGAAATTCACATTACGAGAAATTTAATAAGATTTTATATATTAAAATTTGATTATATGTGTTAGTAGAAAATCATGTGATAATAAGGTCTGTTAACAGTACAAAATTCGAAGTGTTGCAACTATTAAAGAATGGAGAAAGTACTTCATTTTCCCTTGCATTTTCCATGGTTAAGGCCAAGCATAATAAAATAATTTATTTACACCTTTCCCCTTATTTACTTTTCAATATCCAAACATAGCCCTAATGCATTTATGTCAAGTAAAATCATAGCGTATTGATTACCTCGGTCAAAAACAAATCTGGTTTTAACTTAACCAGTAATTGGCACAATACGCTACCATCAAGCAAGACTGCTCGTAGTTCCTCTTCTGAGGATTTTATAGACAACCTCAAATGCGGAAGGATACTGTTCAGCCACTGCACAACTTTTTCTCTCGGTTTTACTACAATAGCAAGAAAGCGTGATAAAAAACAAAGCTTTGTCCAATCCATACATATTAAATATTGATCAATAACATATATATTTGATTTCACCTTCAAGATCATTGTTATTAATTGGTGGGGAATCTTGTGTGTCACCGCTTGGAGATGCACTTGAAGTGTTGAGCATACCATAGTCATTCATCAGGCGGTCAGTTAAAGTATTCATGATGGAAACCTAGAACTTTTCATTCTCAGAGCTGATATACTGGATGCATATATTGTTGATCATTGTAAGCAAAAAATGGAAAAGAGAAAACACAGCAAAATGACTCCTATTTTCAGACGTACCGTGACAATCGTACATCCAGAATATACAAAAGAGCATTATATCATGTTTTAAAATAGAAATGAGCAATCATCATATACAAATGAACTTTTTTTAAGAAGAAGCTGATCAGAACAAAAATAAAAGACAAAAAGAAGGAACACAAGAAAACAAAAGAAAATGACAATCCCTTAGAAAGAAAAAAGCAATCATCAAGGAAACTACAAAAATGCCACATGATGTACGAACATGGATGTAAAGTAAATGGGACTTTTACACTTAAATGATGTACGGCCATAATATATGGGGTTAGGCAGCGATTTTTACACTTAAATAAACTAAATGGGAATTGATCGCGGTTAAGCGGGATTTTTACAAAACCAATAAAAAAGCAAGCATAACAATGACTTAATCCAGTTTCATATCTAACTTCAAAACCAAATTATAGCTACTTGCAAACTTTTAATAAGAAAGTTCATTATATTCTGCAATCAACACATGCAATGGCAGTCCCCAGGATTTAATCCAAGTGTTCCCCATTTCTTCACATTTCATCTCTAATGCAAATGAAACACAAACAGAAAAACTAAATGCTTCAAAGTGGACAAATATCTCCTAAATACTCAAACAAGTGAACAACAATATTAGCAAAATGACTACTAAGTTACAGACAGAACTCATAATTGGTTCGGGTCACTCAGCCGGACAATAGTGCAAACCATATTAAAAGTTTGAAGAACGCAGCAGCATTGCTAAAGGACTACTGTGCACTGGGGTTGGACAGTTAGATGAACAACTGGATACATGAAGTGAGCAGACCTATTCTCATACCATAATAGCATTCATAATTGGGTCTGACAGGATGCACATGGAAAAAACTACACTAAAAAAATCAATTCAATAGATTAGCTAGTATAGCTCAGAATTTTGTATACTTATTTGTTTCCCTTTAATCTTTCAATATAAGATTTCTAATACTTTCAGATGGAATGTAGGATAATACAAATCACAAATTCACAATCTATGCAAAATTTAGCTGATGTCCTAAGAAAGATGGTTGCAAGCATGAATGCAGACCGAAGTTGAGAACAATCATATTTCAATGTATGGTAGCATGCGAAACTTCAAAATCAAGAGAGGGGACGTTAAAACCTGCTTGTTTCGAAGATTGAATTTTTAACTCCAAATAGGAATAATTATAATAATGACAACAATACAAGAACAACAATGTCCCAAATAGGAACAATAATAATGACAATAATAAATAATAAAAAGTTGAGAATAATGGATTGGAAATGGAGAGAGATCAACCTGGCAAAATGATGAGACGGCATGAAGCTCTCTAGGCACGTTTGTTTGGGAAGAAGACCAACTAAGAAATTCACAATTTCATTGAATTTTAATTAATCCATCATCTTTCTGGGAGGTTGCTTTTTTTTCTTGGGTGTGTGAAGTCTGAAGAGTGTCATTTTTTGTTGGTGTTCATGCATCCCGAGTTCTTCGGGAGAGTTCTGCGGAAGGTCGAAAAGGTGACCGATGGCACTCCGTTAACTTAGGACCTGACTGATCTCTGCTCCCTCGCCTCCGGTGCCTACCCTTTTGCATTCGGATCAGGTTCTTCTCAGTCGGGATCCAGCATTTAAACTATCCGTAAAAATACCCGAAAAATTGGTACTAAAAATAGGTTATGTCTGACATAAAAAAAAAAACTTACCCCAAGTCAATTGGTACACAGTCATTCCCATTTTCGGGTTAGGTTTTCAAATAACTCGGTATATCGATATTATAGCGTACCGACTCCCTATCCAATAATTACTTTAAATTCTAAAATATTGTAAAAGTTCATTATAATTTTGAAGCCCAAAATTAATACTTCTAGGTTTATACTTTCTAGGTTTCTACCAAGTAACATTTAAACAAACTAACTCTAATGACTAATGAGTAATGTACTAATGTCCAGAAACCAGTCCATCTTCATGATGAAAGAGTCTCTGAGTAATCGACGAGTGAAGAGGGATACACTTATGTGATGAGTGTATCTACATAAGTATTCCGCGAGTCGAGTCACACAACTTTGTTCGAAAGTCTTATTCAAATATTTTTTTAAAAACTATAAAAATGACTAAATACACAATATCATATTAGGGATAAATGATTTTATATCCATGTTGTTTGAATAATTTTATTTATTTTTGTTAGAGATCACTATTCATATAATTATATCTACATTGTTCAAGTTATTTTAGGAAAATGTGTTATTTTTTAATACGTGGCATGTTGAACTGCTTAAATATACTAATAATAATTATTTTTCAATATTGAATATGACATCAATAGATTATTAATTGTATTCTGAAACATTCTAATAATGGATTAAATATGTCGATAGTAACACCGATTTAGTATATTTTGTTAGTTTATGATAATTTGTTGTATTGGGAGACATGCATGGTAATTTACCGATATCGTATTGTTACCGAACAGAAACTTCGGTATACCGAAATGCGCGGTATACCGAAACTTCGGTAAGGTAACGGTATATAAATTTTGTATATCGAAAGGTTTAGTACGACAAAGGTATGAGAGAAAATATTCGGTATATTATACTGAACCACCCCTAATTTAAACAATAATTTTCTTAATCATATTTAAAACAATAGAAATTGTCCTAAATAGGAGTAAAAACGTTTTAAAATTCCAAAATAGGAGTATCGTGTTTTTTATTTCTTGAATAGGAGTAATCTGTCAAGTTTGAAAAAAAAATGTCATGTTTAAAAGCCTAGTAATGCCAAACTTGGCAGAAATTTACTCCTATTTAGGGAATAAAAAAAATGATAGTCCTGTTTTGGAATTTCAAAACTTTTTTACCTCTATTTAAGAAATTTACTCTTTAAACAATAATTAATTAAAATAGTTCGTGTATATTTTGAGAAATAATTTTAATAGTTATATAATATAAGTGGATTAATATTGGTAACTGTGATGTTATAAATGTATTATTTTGGGAAAAATAATTTAAATATCTCAAACTTTGAAGGGCGTGAGATAAATACTCATTTGCAAGTGTAATATATATATATATATATATATATATATATATATATCCCAAACTTAATATAAGAAGTGATGTTAGCTTCATGATTATATATTTTTTCACGAATGTAATTTTATGGTGTTAAGTACATATTTAAAATACAAAAAATATTTATGAGGATGCAATTATAATTAAATTGTATCGGTGTAATATTATTTATTTTACAAATGAAATTTTGTAATGTTAACTACATCCTAACAATGCAAAGAGTATTTTAAATTATTAAATTATTCCACTAAATTTAATTTTTTTAAAGAACATGAAATCATGGTGCAAAAATAACTTTTTATCTAAAATTTGGGGCATATATATCACGTATGCAAGTTTGAGATACTTATCTCACACTCATTTAAGTTTGGGGTATTTAAGTTTTATTTTTAATATTTAATGATTAATTTATCATTTAGGGTTGTTAATATAGGGGATTTTTCATAAATATTACTAAAATGAAATTATTTACACAAATATAACTAATACTTACTATAATGTAGTGTCATGGTAACTCAAGTTTAGGAATTGAACATAGGTTACTATAATTTCATTACTACTCTAGTCATTAGTCACGTTTTTGTAAACGATCTTTATATTAATCATAAAGATTAATGAGCACAAATCCAAATTAGAGCTAAATGTGAAATTTATGCCTCTCTAACATCAGAATGGGAGGACATGTGCTCACGCATGCGACATACTCGATCAAGATTTGAAGGAACAGGATATTCACGCAGTGTTCAAAACTCTTGATCGTTTTGCAAATAACTTCATAGACACGGTCGATGAAGAATAGATGAAGACATCATAGACACATTGGCTGACACCATAGCATTATTACGTAACAAGACCTTCAAATCTTCTTCTATGCATCAAGATAAGAATGTAATGTTTTCCAAGGATGAACCTTTGCACTTTCAAAGACAACTTGAGCTTATGTCTTCAAATTTTAATGTCAGATTGTTTAAGAAGGATACATCTACTAAGAAAAGCATTGCCGACGATGATTCCAATTGTTTTGTCTGTGATAAGCCAAGACTTCTCATAAAGAACCACAAAATGCTCAAAAGAAGGAAAGAAGCTGACTATCTCAAAGAAGGAATAGTTATCCCTTGTTACTAGCTTCAAGTCTTTTTAATAAATTAAGGAAGTGTTTCCCGGCACTTCCTCCACCGTGAGTGGTTTGCTCCGGGACAACAAAAAAAAGAGCAAAGAATAGTTCTCATGGCCGAGCATGATTATTGGCTAGAAGATTCAGAAGATAGCGAACCATAGAACATGACATTGATGGCTAGAGTTGAAGAAGAAGCTGAAAGTGAAAGTGATTGCTGAGAGGAAGATACCAGTTCTCCATCTATTGAGAATGAGGTAAGTTCTTTTTGTCACGCTCCAGACCGCATCTAAACGTGTGTACAACCGTCTTATGACCAAGTGACGTCACTCGCAAGTCAACGTGACTTAATCATACAAGGCGTCCATTAACATAATCCATCCATACTCAGTAGTAAACATACATAACAACATCACATTTAAACCAATGAATAGCGGAAATATTCAACGGTAAAGCATGGGCCACAACCGGCCAAAACATGGGCTCACAGGCCCAAAATAGTTTATAGTGAATCAAATATCCATGAGCAAGTGTTTGATAGTTTGAAAGGAAATAAGGAAACACGAACCACGTCTTCCTTGAATTGACTTTGTTGGTCCAAAATAGGACGCTCGTAGGCTTTTAGGAAAGCTACGTAAGAACACTCAAGCAGGAATTAGAAAAGTACGAATATGGAAAGTTGCAAAGGGATTTAGTTGCCAGAAATAGCACCTCTCATTTGAAAATCGGACTTGCCTTTTATAAGTGATTTACAAATAGTAACTGTCAAAGATACTAATGGCTAATTAACTACGACATTAATACAGAATTAAACACATAATTAATAGCGCATTGATTGTTGGTCGTTACTCTTCCTGACTAGCAGGTCAGCCTGGCTGGCAGACTGGACGCTTGAGCTCCCTCCTGCTGGACTTGACGGTAAGCTTCCCGCTAGGCTGGAGGAAGGCTTCTGACCGGACTGGAGACAGGCTCCCGGGTAGGCTGGAAGGCAGGCTCCCGGGTAGGCTAGATTGCTGGAAGGCAGGCTCCCCATCGGGCTGGAGGCAGGCTGCTGTCCGGGCCGGAAGGCAGGCTCCCACCTCGGCTGGACCGTAGGCTCCCAGCTGGGCTGGTCGGCAGGCTCGTGGCTAGGCTAGAAGGCAGGCTCCCCATTGGATTGGAAGGCAGGCTCCTGGCTAGGCTGGAAGGTAGGCTCCCTGCTGGGCTAGAAGGCAGGCTGTCTTGGGCTTTCACTCTTTGATGGGCCTGATCGGTTAGGTCGAAATGAGCTCTGGATCACTGGGCTTGGGCCTGCTGGTCCAAGTCTGGGGCCTGGGCCGATTAGACTCTAGGCCTAGTACCATAACGCCATCACGAATCCTCCACTCCCTTAGTCGAGGAGTAGACTCGACTAAGAGGGAGTAGTTTAAGTCAGTTGTCGATTTAAAAATAGTCACATATCAAGGAACCATAATTATGGATTATGTGAATCCCGGAGTTTATGGAAATTCCCAAATTAAATCAGGCTCCCAAAAAAGGCTCCAAATAAATTCCTTCAACATCCTAGCACTCCAGCCGTCAGTTTTCTTCCGGACTTCAGAATCAAGGTCAGCACCCGAAAATTCCTTTTCTTTCCTTTCCTTTCTTTTCTTTCCTTCTTTTTTCTTTCCTTTTTTTTCTTTCCTTTTCTTTTCTTTCCTTCTTTTTTCTTTCCTTTTCTTTCTCTTCTCTCCCCTGGTCTGCGTCCATCTTCCTCGCGCCGCAACAACGCCGCAGTCAACCAGCCGACTGGCTTGACCGGCATTTTTCTCCCGGCAGCTCCTGGGTCGACCCCTGCTGCCCTCAATCGCTGCTCCGCACCACCGCCGGTGGCCGGCGTCTCCCCTGCAATCCAGCGGATCTGGCCGGCGGGTCTGGACCCCCATGTTCGGCCGACCCAATCCCCTCAGCCGGTGGTCGTTCCACTTCTGGTCGGCATGGTGTCCTCTCAGGCGGACTGGAAGCCCGACGCCCCCCAAGTCGGATGGTGACCTTCTCTCAGGCGGCCAGCCCATCAACTCCTCCGCCGGACGGCATCCCCCGGGCCTTCTTCCCCAACGGCCGGTGTCGCCCAGGAGGCTGGATTACTCCTGAATTCTGGTGGCTGCCGACGTCGATCACGAGGGTATCGGTCACCCCCTGCCGACCGGCGTAGCCATCCCTCTAGGTGGCTAGGCGTCCGCGTTGGCCAGCACTTGTTTCCTAGATGTGATGGGACGGGCTGACATCCCCGCTCGCCAGGAGTCCGCATTGGCCGGCGGTTGCCCCGATGTCGTTCTTCTATTAGGTGGTGGCAGCCCACGTCGATCCACGGCTGGCCGGTCGTCGTTGGCCTGTGGATTGACACTTTGTTACTTCTCTTTTTTTTGCAGGTTTGACGTTCTCCCGGAGATGGCTCCAGCTAGGCGAACCACTACTCCTGAGGGTCGGC